TTCCTGGAGCTCACTTGGTAGCCCAGGCTGGCCTCGAACTCACAGAGATCCGCCTGGCTCTGCCTCCCGAGTGCTGGGATTAAAGGCGTGCGCCACCACGCCCGGCCATGATTGCCTTTTCAATCATTTTATAATAACTGCTGATAATTCCAATATCTGCATGATCTCATTCTTGACCTCTATTGGTAATCTTTCTCCATTTGAGTTGGTAATCTTTCCCCATTTCATTGTTTTATACACTGAGTAATTTTTGGATTGTTTCCTGGGCATTTTGAATACTATACTATGAGACTGGTTCTTGCGAAAATCCCAAGAAGAATGTTGATATGTCTGTTTCAGTAGGCAATCTATAGAGTTAGCTTCCAGCCACAACTTCATGCACTTGTGATTTCAAGGTCAATTCAGTTTTCATAAGTTTATAGTGTTGTTCAGTTGTCCTATGTGTGTGCCACCCAGCAGTTAGTCTGGAGTTAGATGGAGGTCCAGCTTTAGCTCAGTTCTCTGTCTTTGGTATGTAAATAAGGATCTAGTCCCTGCACATACAGGTCAGGAGCTGTGGAAAGCAAGCCCATCCTACAAAGGCCTCCTCATTGGGACTTTTGGGGGAACATGGTAGATCTGAAGCACAGACTTGTCTCCTCTACCTACCTCCTCTTGTCCACATATTATTTCATCTCTACTTGATTCCTCAATCAAGGAAATTCAGCCAGAGTTGTCACACACCCAGACTCCAAAGAGGGCAAAAAGAACTTCATTGTGAACCCTCAAGAGATCTAATCTAAGAAGCATAAAATAAGGTATCTCTCCCATAAAGGTGGGTCAGAGCACAGTGGAATGGCTGAGGAGCCCTAGGGACCATGGTGAAGGATTCTGAAAATTCTGAAGAACAGATGTCTAGAAAAAGCCTCCAGTTTAGCCCAGCTTTCCTGTCTAGGACCTCCAATCTGGAAACACAGTCTAGTGGGACGCAGACTGTAGCCCTTTCCCTAGTGGTGGAACTCCGCCCATGACAAGCATTAATGCCTCTGCACTATCTGGGTCTTTCTGGTCAATTATTGGTCTAATTTGCTTCTCTGTTTCAACAAAACACTCTGACCAAAAGACTACTTAGGAGAAGGAAGTCCTTGTTTCATCTTACACTTGCAAGTCACAGTCCATTATGAAGGGAAGTCAGGGCAGGAACTCAAGGAAGGACCCTGAAGGCAAGAGTGCTTGCTATTCCCACATAGCATTACCTCTGAGTAGGGAATGAACTCACAGCCAAGGATATAGCAGAAAGCATGGAAGAAGGCTGCTTGATGCCTACTCTCAGGCTCATGCTTAGCTACCTTTGCTATCTATAGGTCCAGGACCACCTGCCCGGGAAATGGTACACCTCACAGTGGGCTGGGCCCTCCTACATCAATTAGCAATCAAGGAAATCCCCCATAGACACGCACACAGGCCAATTTGATCTGGGCAACCCACAGTTGAGACTCCCTTTTCAAGTGAGCCTAGACTGTGTCAAGTTGATGGTTAAAGCTAACTAGAACAGGACCAGAGAGTTGTCTCAGTGGTTAAAATGCTTGATGCTCTTACAAAGGACCCAGGTTCAATTCCCAGCACTCACATGGTAGCTTGCAACCATCTGTAACTCCAGTCCCAGGGGATCTGATACCCTCTTCTGATCTCTATGGTCAGACCTCACTTCATGCACACATGCTGCACAAACACAAATACAGGCAAAACACTCTCACACATGAAATAAAATAGATAAACCTAAACGACAAAAAGTTTTGTTTTTCAAGACAGGGTTTCTCTGTAGCCCTGGCTGTCCTGGAACTCACTCTGAAGATCAGTTTGGCCTTGAACTCACAGAGGTCTGCTTGCCCCTGCCTCCTGAGTGCTGGAATTAAAGGCGTGGGCCACCCCCCCCCCCAGGCTTTCTTTTGTTTTAAGACAGAGTCTTGGGACTGTAGAGATGGCACAGTGGTTAAGAATACTCTTTTAGAGACTTCTTTTAGAGGACCTGGGTTCAGTTCCTAGCACCCACATGGTAACTCACAACCCTCTGTAACTCCAGAGGATCCAATGACCCCTTCTGGCCTCCTCAAACACCAGGCATGTACATGCTGCAGAGACATGCAGGAAAACACTATAAAAATAAAGAAAAGTAAAGACAGAACAACAGGGTCTCTGTTGGCCTAGAACTGACCAAGTGGGCTAGGCTGGCTGTGTACCTGTCTCTAACTCCTCAGTGCAGAGATTGTAAATACACCCCATGCATGGCTGTTGAAGTGGGTTCTGATCAAAGGCAGGTCCTTAGGCTTATCAGTTTAGCACTTTACCAACGTAGCTATCTCCTCAGCACCTTAGTCAGTCTCCTCAAAATGACAATCTGCAAAATTCCTGAAATTGCTAAGCATACCAAAAATGCAAAGCTATCCACTACCCAGGTCATTTCTCAGGAAGCTCCCTTGAGAAATGGTATAACATCTCCTACACAAAACCTGCTCATGATAACAGAACAAATCCCACCTCAGTGCTCCTCTCCTATAACCCAGCTATAACATGTGCAGATATGCACATACACCCATCTGTATCACCCCCTTGAGAGATGAGGGATGTGGAAAACCAATCTGAACATGCTACCAATACTCTGGCTATTGCTTTTGCTATGAATGGTAAATCCTTTGTTTCTTTTTCCTCAATTTTAAAAGATTTCTTTTAAGTATGGGGGCAGCATTTGTGCATGCATTGGCCCTGGATCTGGAGTTACAGTTAGTTGAGTTGCCTGATATGGGTACTGGGAACCAAACCCAGGTCCTCTGCACTATTAGCCAGTGAGCCATCTCTCCAGCCCCTAAAGTCCTTTTTTGTTTGTTTTTGTTTGTTTGTTTGTTTTTTGTTTTTTTGTTTTTTTCTGATCAGGGACTCATGCTTCCACTTACATCCATGAAACAGGACAGATTGTTCATGAAAATTTCAGACTCTTCAGATGCTAAAGTTTAGAGTTATGGACACTTGACATTCACCTGTCAGACGCTGAGTCTGAGGTCCTCAAACCAGACACTCACACCTGACTCAACCTGGCACACAGTCCTCTCTTCCCTATGCCAGATTTCAACTCTCAACTTATGTT